CTGCAGACTGGCTGGCAGACTGGCTGCTGGCTGACTGGCTGGCTGGCTGGCAGACTGGCAGGCTGGCTGGCAGACTGGCTGGCTGGCTGCAGGCTGGCTGGCACTGGCTGGCACTGGCTGGCTGGGCTGGCTGGCTGACTGGCTGACTGGCTGACTGGCTGCTGACTGACTGGCAGACTGCTGACTGCACTGACTGGCTGACTGACTGGCACTGACTGGCAGACTGACTGACTGGCAGACTGACTGACTGGCAGACTGACTGACTGGCAGACTGACTGACTGACTGACTGACTGACTGGCAGACTGACTGACTGGCAGACTGACTGACTGACTGACTGACTGGCAGACTGACTGACTGACTGACTGACTGACTGACTGACTGACTGACTGGCTGACTGGCTGGCTGACTGGCTGGCTGACTGGCTGGCTGACTGGCTGACTGGCTGGCTGGCTGGCTGGCTGACTGGCTGACTGGCTGGCTGGCTGACTGGCTGACTGGCTGGCTGCTGGCTGACTGCTGACTGGCAGACTGGCTGCTGGCTGGCTGGCTGGCTGGCAGACTGACTGACTGGCTGGCTGGCAGACTGACTGGCAGACGACTGGGCAGACTGGCTGGCTGGCAGACTGACTGACTGCTGGCTGACTGGCAGACTGGCTGCTGGCAGACTGGCTGGCAGGCAGACTGGCTGGCTGACGGTGGCTGACTGGCTGGCTGGCTGGCTGGCTGACTGGCTGACTGGCTGACTGGCTGACTGGCTGACTGGCTGACTGGCAGACTGGCAGACTGGACTGACTGACTGGCAGACTGGCAGACTGGAGACTGGCAGACTGGCTGGCAGACTGGCTGGCAGACTGCAGACTGGCAGACTGGCAGACTGGCGACTGGCAGACTGACTGGCAGATGGCACTGGCAGACTGGACTGGCAGACTGGCAGACTGGCAGACTGGACTGCTGAGACTGACCTGACTGACTGGCAGACAGACTGGCTGACTGGCAGACTGGCAGACTGGCAGACTGACTGGCAGACTGGCAGACTGGCAGACTGGCAGACTGGCAGACTGACTGGACTGGACTGGCAGACTGGCAGACTGGCAGACTGGCAGACTGGCTGGACTGGCAGACTGACTGGCAGACTGGCAGACTGGCAGACTGGCAGACTGACTGGCACTGACTGGCAGACTGACTGGCAGACTGACTGGCAGACTGACTGCAGACTGACTGGCAGACTGGCAGACTGGCTGAGACTGGCAGACTGACTGGCAGACTGACTGGCAGACTGACGACTGGCAGACTGCTGACTGACTGACTGACTGGCAGACTGACTGGCAGACTGGCAGACTGGCAGACTGACAGACTGGCAGACTGACTGGCACTGACTGGCACTGACTGGCTGGCACTGACTGGCAGACTGACTGACTGACTGGCAGACTGGCAGACTGGCAGACTGGCAGACTGACTGACTGGCTGACTGACTGACTGGCTGACTGGCACTGAGACTGGCAGACTGACTGGCTGACTGACTGCTGAGGGGCAGACTGGCAGACTGACTGACTGAGGCACTGGCAGACTGCTGACTGTGACTGGCAGGAGACTGGACTGACTGATGAGGCACTGGGCACTGACTGGCACTGGCTGACTGGCAGACTGGCAGACTGACTGGCAGACTGCTGGCAGACTGGCTGGCAGACTGGCACTGACTGCAGACTGACTGGCTGACTGACTGACTGGCAGACTGGCTGACTGGACTGACTGGCTGACTGCAGACTGGCAGACTGGCAGACTGGCTGACTGGCACTGGCTGACTGCACTGAGACTGGCTGACTGGCAGACTGGCTGACTGGCAGACTGACTGCAGACTGACTGGCAGACTGGCTGGCTGGCTGACTGGCAGGCAGACTGACTGGCGGCCTGGCGACTGCAGACTGGCTGACTGGCAGACTGATGACTGGCACTGACTGACTGACTGGCAACTGGCTGACTGACTGACTGGCAGACGACTGACTGGCAGACTGACTGACTGGCAGACTGACTGACTGGCAGACTGACTGACTGGCAGACTGACTGACTGGCAGGCAGGACTGACTGGCAGGCACTGGCACTGACTGGCAGGCAGGCAACTGACTGGCAGGCTGAGGCAGACTGACTGGGCAGACTGACTGGCAACTGACTGGCAGACGACTGCACTGACTGCAGACTGACTGGCTGACTGGATGACTGCAGACTGGACTGGCAGACTGGCAGACTGACTGGCACTGACTGGCAGACTGACTGGCGACTGGCCTGGCTGACTGGCAGACTGACTGGCTGACTGGCTGACTGCTGACTGGCTGGCACTGGCAGACTGACTGGCAGACTGACTGGCTGGCAGACTGGGCAGACTGGACTGGCAGACTGGCACTGGCAGGCGGCTGGCAGACTGGCCTGGCAGACTGACTGGACTGACTGGCAGATGGCTGGCGGCAGACTGGCTGCAGACTGCGCCGGCAGGCAGAACTGGCACTGGCTGGCAGACTGGCTGGCAGACTGGCTGCAGACTGGCTGACTGGCTGGCAGACTGGCTGGCAGACTGTCTGACTGGCTGGCAACTGGCTGCAGGCTGACTGGCTGGCAGACTGGCTGGCAGGCTGGCTGGCTGGCAGACTGGCGGCTGGCTGACTGGCTGGCAGACTGGCTGGCAGCTGGACTGGCGGCAGACTGGCTGGCTGGCAGACTGACTGGCTGCAGACTGGCAGACTGGCTGACGGGCTGCAGACTGGCTGGCAGACTGGCTGGCACTGGCTGGCAGACTGACTGGCTGGCAGACTGGGCTGGCAGACTGGCTGGCAGACTGGCTGGCAGACTGGCTGGCAGACTGGCTGGCTGGCAGGCTGGCTGGCAGACTGGCTGGCAGGCTAGGCTGGCTGGCAGACTGGCTTGGCTGGCTGAGGGCTGGCTGGCAGACTGGCTGGCTGGCAGCTGGCTGGCATACTGCTGGCTGGCAGCTGGCTGGCTGGCTGGCACTGGCTGGCAGACTGGCTGGCTGGCAGACTGGCTGGCAGACTGGCTGGCAGACTGGCTGGCAGACTGGGCTGGCAGCAGGCTGGCTGGCAGACTGGCTGGCAGACTGGCTGGCTGGCAGACTGGCTTGGCAGACAGGCTGGCTGGCTGGCTGGCTGGCGGCAGACTGGCTGGCTGGCTGGCAGACTGGCTGGCAGGCTGCTGGCTGAGGCTGGCTGGCTGGCAGACGGCACTGGCTGGCTGGCTGGCAGAACTGGCTGGCAGACTGGCTGGCTGGCTGGCAGACTGGGCTGGCCTGGCAGGCAGACTGGCTGGCTGGCTGGCTGGCAAACTGGCTGCAGACTGGCTGGCTGGAGGCTGGTGCACTGGCTGGTGGCAGACTGCTGGCTGCATGGCTGGCTGGCTGGCTGGCTGGCAGACTGGCTGGCTGGCAGACTGGCGGCTGGCAGACTGCTGGCTGGCAGGAGCTGGCTGGCTGGCAGGCTGGCTGGCTGGCTGGCAGACTGGCTGGCTGGCCTGACTGGCTGGCTGGCAGGCTGGACTGGCAGGCTGGGCTGGCTGACGATGGGGCTGACTGGCTGGCAGGCTGACTGGCTGGCAGGCTGGCAATGGCTGACTGGGCTGGCAGTGCTGGCGGCGGACTGACTGGCTGAGACTGGCAGACTGGCTGGCTGACTGACTGGCTGGCAGACTGGCAGGGCAGACTGACTGCAGGCTGGGCTGACTGGCAGGCAGACTGAGGCAGGACTGGCAGGCAGGCAGACTGGGCAGGGCAGGCAGACTGGCAGGCTGACTGGCAGACTGGGCAGGCAGGCAGGCTGGCACTGGCAGCTGACTGGCTGACTGGCAGGCAGACTGGCAGGCAGGCGACTGGCAGCAACTGACTGCAGGCAGCTGACTGACTGGTGACAGGCAGGGCACTGACTGGCAGACTGGCAGGCAGACTGACAGGCAGACTGACTGGCAGACTGGCAGACTGACTGGGCAGACTGGCTGACTGGCAGACTGGCAGACTGGCAGACTGGCTGCATACTGGCAGGCAGACTGGCAGACTGGCAGGCTGGCTGCAGACTGGCTGGCAGGACTGGCTGCAGACTGGGCTGGCTGCAGCACTGGCTGGCAGACTGGCTGGCAGGCAGACTGGCTGGCAGACTGGCTGGACTGGCAGACTGGCTGGGCTGGCTGACTGACTGGCTGGCAGACTGGCTGGCTGGCAGACTGGCTGCTGCAACGGGCTGGCAGGACTGGCTGGCAGACGGGCTGGCTGGCAGACTGGCTGGCAGACTGGCTGGCAGACTGGCTGGCTGCTGGACTGGCTGGCAGACTGGCTGGCTGGCAGACTGGTGGGCTGGCCGACTGGCTGGCCTGGGACTGGCTGGCTGGCAGACGCTGGCTGGCAGACTGGCAGGCAGACTGGCTGGCGACTGGTGGCAGGCAGACTGGACTGGCTGCTGGCAGCTGGCGGGCAGAACTGCTGGCAGACTGGCTGGCTGGCAGACTGACTGGCTGGCAGACTGACTGGCTGGCGGCAGACTGACTGCTGGCAGACTGACTGGCTGCGACTGACTGGCTGGCAGACTGACTGGCTGACTGGCTGCAACGGCTGGCATACTGACTGGCTGGCTGGCTGGCAGACTGACTGGCTGGCAGACTGGCTGGCGGCAGGCTGGCCATTATGGAACGAATGTGAGTAAATGAGAATGTAATACAAATGTGAACTAAATCTTTGCAATTAGTAATAATATACTTTCTTCCTAGTTGAATAATCAAATTAAATACAATTTTTACATAGTTATAAGCATTAAAAAAAGAAACCAAGAAGTTTTTCACTTTATTTGCATTAACTTATTATTACAAAACTTGAACAATTTGCTAACTTTCCACTAGAAGAATTGTCTCATTAAATACTTAGTATAATCAAAAGAGAATTCAGAATGGAATTTTACATCAATATGGAAATAAAAAACCTTAATATTAAATGCTTCTAAACTTCACAAAATTATTAAAAGCAGAGTTTCATACTTACTAGCCATAAGCCATCAAATCGAACAGCTTTTCGGAACTCTGCACACATCTGAGTCCAATAAGGTCGGACTTGAGGATGGGAAAAATCAGGAAAATATGATTTGCCAGCCCAAAGCTTATAAAATATGATATGCACTATATTTATTTAATTATTTTGTATCATTCTTCACAAAATAAATAATTAGTATGCACAGCACAAGAGACAATAATAAATAATTAGCCCACTTTTTATTACAACTTTACATGAACAGAAAAATGAAAATGTTAAAATATGTATATCAAACAAAAATTAAAATTAGAATTTCTGAATAGCCTCTAAACAAAAATTGAATGCTCTAGAATATGGAAGCATGTTAAAATGCTACCTATTTCCAACTTTCTACCATCTAACTGTCTAAAATGTATTTAATAATAAAAATATAAAAGCAATTTTTATTTAACTTCAAAGTGAAACAGCCAAATGTTCTCCACAAAGGGACAGAATCTGCTCTTTAATGTAGCATGCAGGAAAGTATAAGAAACAACATATGAAAAATAAAATATAAAAGAAAAATGATACACAAGTGTCATTTATTTTACTGGTTGCAGGAAAGGAGGAAAATATAGCAAACACACAAAGAAGCAGAAGACAAAATTATGAGTTTCAAAAGTGTCAAAGAAATTTAACTCGCTAACTGAAACTTTCTAATTAATTTCAGATAAAAAACTTTTAACTCCAGATTATGATTTACAATGATACCAAATATGTAATAATGATATATGAACTGATCGATTACAAATCTTATGTTAAAACTTTCTTTTTTTTTTTTTTTTTTTTTAAGTGCAGAACCAAATGCATATATAAATAAACCAGAGAAAAGTTGATAAAAATTTCATAGCTAATATTATTAGTTCCTTGAGTTCATGTTTAAATTTTTTTTCCACAAAATTATTCAAAAAAAATTCCTTAGTGTTGAATCAAATTTTTGAAGTTTTCATATATACACAAATACATCATGCATTAAGAAAAGTGTTACATGAGCATATGAATTTAAAACAAACTATTTTTTTTTTTAAATATGTTGTTTTTTTATTTTTTATACATGGCACTGGTGCATTTATTCAAACTCCATATCAAATTTTAGGTTCTTCTTTTACTTAATTTTTTTAAATATATTATGGAAGAGAAATTAATTATTTTCCCTTGACACATATCTAATTTTTTTAATGTTATATTTAATACAAATTTCTTACAATTTATTATTATTTGATTTCTCTAACATGTTATTATGCTTTATTAAATTTCAAACTACATCGTGTTTAAAAAAATATATACATATTACAAAGTGTTATTTTGTCCAAACTATCGATCACTGCGCCTCGGCTAGGCTATTAGCGAAATGAATACAAAGTCTAGTTTATATTAATAGCCGCTAGATGTCAGTTGTCTTCTATTTTGCATGGTAACCATTACATGTTTAAAATGGCTACTCCGCAGCAGAAATCATTTTGTGTTCTCGAGTTTGTGAAGTACAATTCCGTGATTACAGTGCAAAGATGTTTCAAGTTAAGGTACCAAAGTGATCCTCCGAATGGGTGGAACATTCGCAGATGGAACTGCAATTTGTTGTAAATACAGAATGCCTATGTAAAGGAAAGAATTCTGGCCACCTCGTGTTCCCGACAAAAATGTTTCACGAATTCAAACTTTCCAAAGCAGTCCTTCGAAATCAACTTATCATGCCAGTCGCAAACTTGTCAACCTATGACACTAAAAAATCAGATTTTTTTAAGAAATCGGGAGATTTTTCACAATGTTAAAGACTTTTTAAATGATGAAAATATAGTTTTTAATAATGAATTAACTTTAAATAGTAACTAATTCTTAAATGCGAGCAACACAAAAATACCTTGCACATAAAAAACATTTTTATTACTTGCATCGTTAAGGAAATCAAAAAAAAACACTTTAATCAGTTTTCGTACAAATGTTATAAACACTGGCAGATTTTGCTTTCATTTAAGAAAGAAATTTCATAATTTTGTTCATAGAAATTGCCACGTAGGCCTGCTTTCGCTAAATAAAAGTTTTTCTAATGTGTCATCACTTAATATTGGATCTAAATTTAGTCCTCGTTTTCACAACAACACTGAAAATCCTGTCACACTTCCGCATTACTTATGGGGAACTGTGAAGACAGCCAACATAATTCTAGAACAGTTCACTACATTTTAAAATTCCATCAGCACCTTTCAGTTTTCCAATTAAACTTCCCTGGATGTCAATCCTAGCTGATTTATAACTTCATCCAAGTTTTCAATTGTAACTGCAATATTATCATGGCAATATCAATATCATCTCCTTCATGACTAAATGAAGTAACATGGAAGTCGGTTGAAAAAATACCTTATATCAGAAAAAGATGCATTGCTAGAGCAGAAACATCAGCAACTTTAGTATACAAAATCACTTCATCGTTGACTGGAATTTAGTAGTATGTAGCACTACTCGACAGAAGTAACTTCTAACATGAAGATAAAACTTATTTTTGTCTTATCTGAAAGTTCTTCTACTCTTTTGTAGTTGCAGCTCCGATTACCATATATCATCTTCTTCCGATTTTCATTTCACCATAAATCACATCATACATAGAATTACAAGACAAAAACTTTACAACTTTGATAAAATGCCATTAAACAGATCATAAATCTTTGATTGCAAAACATGAATTAATGGAAGAATTAGAATATGAGAACATTGAATGATGCAAAATGAATTGTAAAAAAAAGCAAAAGCTTTGTTAATTCCAAAAAAAAAAAAAAAAAAAAACCAAAAAAATAAATATTCGTTTCTTCACACGATAACTAAAGTAATCGAAAATGTTTCGTTTGTTAAGCAATTTTTTTATTTGAAATTGTATCAGTTTTATGCTATATTTGCAGTATTCTTTGAGAACTGCCAGTTTAATTGCTGAATGGTACAGAAATTACTTTATTTTTCTCAAATATTTTTAACAATGGAAGTAGTAACTACATCTCCATTTACTAGGTATTTATAACTTTCAACAGAGCCTTTTATCTTAACTCTCGAAGCATTACTCTTTAAAAAATGCAAAGTGTGTTCCATTGATCGAAGATTCTAGACAAGCATTCTTTAAAAACAGCCAGCATCTACACACTGTTTCAAATTTTTATCATTCAGTATTATGCAGCTGTTGGAACTGTTTTCAACTTTCCTTCCTTTTAGAACTCCTTTCAAGACAATAATAAATATCATCAATGTGCTCATCCACATTTATTGGTAAAGAAGCTGCCCCTTTTTCTGCTAAATTTAAGAAGTGACAGGTGCACCTCATAATCTGCAAACCTGAATTTTCCTTTCTTAAGATGCCTGCAACACCAGTCTTCAAGCCTACCATATTGAGGCATTATCGGCACCAAGTGCTAAGGGAGACCAGTTAAGTCCAGAGGACTGCATTTTCATTTAAAGTTTTAATACTTATAGCTGTGCTTTATTAAAGCATGACGAATGTCCTTCTAAAGTGGGACAGAAAGTAAACTGCATTCAACTTCTGAAGACTCGGATTAAAAAAAGAAACACAGTTAGATACAGTTTGAATCGATATTATTGCTTCCATTCGTAAAGAGGTAGAACGGAGCTGTTTTAATGCAATCAAAACTGAAGATTTATTTTTCAAACCTATTTTTTTAACAATTGCACCTGTTTTGGTCCTTGTACTTGAGCATTTCTTAGCGATTTCACGATCGGAGCATTTTTCTAAATAAAGCTGCAGCGTGATCTGATGCATTCATGGCAGGTTGTGCTCCAGTAAAAAGGCAGAGAACAGACATTCTGCATTAATAACTTTTGGTCCTTTGTTTCCGAAGAAAATTTAAACTTTTTTTTTTTTTTTTTCAAACAACTCATGTTTCCTTGTGTTTTTGTCTACGCACATGTTTGAGAACATCCGCCCTCCACCATGCGAAATCGAAAAATCACAATGACAGACGGTACACATCGCAAATTTATTATATTTCCTTGAGGAAATAACGGAAAGAAAGTCAACTATGTACGATTTTTGAAACATACACGTGTATTTCACCTTTTTCACAGATATAACAAAAATTGATAATTTCTAAAACTATTTCCCGAAAGCACGTGCACTCACACAACTCCGAACAAGATTAACAAAATAACTAAAGAGCATCCTAATAACAGCCTTAAGCTTGCTTTGTGCTCATTGGCTAATATATGCCAGATGACACGCTGTGGAGCTCGAGGCCCATTGGAGAACTGGAGAACGATGCTTCTGGATATGTATATGCTCTCACTCACAAAGAAAAAGTTTTCATCTGATTTGCAAGGTTTTGTTTTAGATATAAGCTAAAGAAAATTCAACTTCTTTCAGACGTCAAAAATCACCTTTTGTTTTTTTTTCATATAACGAAGTATTAAGCCAAGTACACAGAAAAATCGTGAGAAATTTTAAGAATAAGAAAAAGTCGGGAGAAATATATTGTAAATCGGGTTGGCGGGAGAGCGGTCAAAAATCAGGAGAGTTGGCAACTCTGCGTATGTCATACAGTTTAATAAATATATGCATTCGAAATATGTATATTCCTTTTGAAACACGCTGTATAAGTATGAATGGCAGCAATAAGCCCTTTTTATTGCAACAACATTTTAGAATAATTTATTATCCAAAAATATTCTGGATTCATTACTTCAGAATATTTAAGCTGTTTTTATCATGTTCCACAAAGAAGATGTAGTTACAAAAGAAGGTGTAGTTTATGCATTTCTATGGCTTAAACTACACCTTCTTTTACCTTCAATGATAATAATTTTATACTTCGGTCATGCAGCATTCTTAAATACTGAAATTCTAAGTCTGATTATGCAAAAATTGTGCATGTAACTATTTTAGAATAATTTATTCTCCTAAAATATTCTGGGTTCATTACTTCAGAATACTTTATTATTCTAGAATTAAACAACTTGTAAAAAATAATATATCATTTTCTCTTTAAAAAACAATAGTTTGTTCCATACAACTCAGAACCAAATAGCTATAATATTTACCTTTCATAACATTATATTATTAAATTTAATGTGCATTTTGCCAACAACATTTAAGAGGAAGAGAATCACAAACTTACTTTTCCCTCTATATATGTATCATTTATTTTGACAAAGATATCTCTATTGATGCCAACATCTAAAGCTGGATAGTTCGATTTCAAAGTTTTATTACTAGCTATTGCTGGATCCTGAAAAAATTATCACATCCTAAGTCACAATCAAAATGAAAATAAAAACACTAAAAAAGCAGCTTGATTAAGTGAACTTACAGGTGCTACATTATTAGGAGTTTTATTAAAATATTACAAGATTGGAAATACAAAACAATCAAATATAAACATTCAGAAACAAATTTAAAAATACATGAAAAACAGAAAAACTGGCTAGTTCTTTATCTACAAATAGTCACAATAATAATTATAGGTCATTTAACTCAAAAGTAAAGGAATTACGTTTTACATATCTGAAATGATCTGCAATATAAATAAATATAAAAGCAAAAATTGTGAAAATGGAATGACCATTTTTGATGCAAGGAAACATTGGAAAATAAGGCAAATAATATAAAAGATAAAAATCCTTAAAAAAAAGTGTAACTAAAAAAATAAATTTAAAAAAATGAATTAAAGAGCACATTCAGTATGTATGACTTTTATAAAATGAAGCTGAACATGAGTAGGAAAGATCACTAAAATCATAATTAACATATAAATATTCTTACACATTATCACAAATCATGCTAATAATTGATAAAATGCTTGGCATTTTTGCCAGTGATAAATTAGGAGCTGAGTTTAAATGACAACTCACTGCATTTCTAAAAACAAATATCAGACTTGCTTCTCCAACAACTTTGCAGTATAAAAAAAATAACAGACTTGCTTCTCCAATCACTTTGCAGTATAAAATTATATTGCAAAGAATCTCCCTTTCTTCAGTTTTATTAAGTTCATTTTTTCTAAAGACTAATGCAGTACATATTTTTTCCATTAATCAAAATGCACATACTTTAAAACATAAGTTGATTTGTTAGAATGCAAATGTTAAAAAAGTATTGAAAATTTATTGTAAAACTGCAATATTTGTAATGGCAAAAAGAGGTGAAAGTAAAAATATTAATCTAAACTAGACAGATATTCCAAGACTTTCAAAATAAATAAGCCTAATTTTTTAGCAAAAATAAAGTCAAACATATATTATGTAAGACTATAATAGATCTAAAAGTATTTTCATAAACCTCATGTATAGCTAGCACAAAATTCAGTAAATCCAACATAACTCTCCTAAAAAGTTTCAGCTAGTTTTATAAATGCCACATTTAAAAGAAAGGATAGTGAGTTTTCTATTTTAAGTACATTTCTTTAACTGCTTTAAAGCAACAGAAAGACCCAAAATATTTAACAATAAGTTCATTGCTTACTAACTGATAATTAGCCATATTAAATTAAATATCAATGAACTGTTTAATTAAATATTATAGTTTAATTTTAACAACTAATTTACCAAAGCAAAAATATTTTAGTAAGTGGTTCTACCAAACATGTAAATTAAGTAGCTGAGTCCTAGCTTGCTTTAGAGGCATTAAAATATCTTTCATTCATCATGAACGCATCCCTTGATTAACCCTAACTATAATTTTGCAAGAAATATCATATACTAAATAGTACCCATATTAATAAAATAATAAATGCTTTATTTATTATACAGATTATGCAGTAAATTACTCACTAATATGATTATAACTTTTCTTCCTTTATCATGAATCTCATCTATGAAAGATGGCAGATTTCGATAGTGATCATAATCATAAGTGAAATCTTTAAAGTTATCCATGTAATCAATATCCAGATATTGGACATCCTACAAAACATCAAAAAACATATAAAAGATATGTTAAACAGCCCCCAAAATGACATTTTTTTAATAAAAATTTCTAAAAAAGTCAAGAATTCTATTTCAATTAAAATATATAAATCTTACTGTTGTACTTATACAAAGTAAAATTTTACATTAATATGCATAGTACTTAAAATTATTTAATCTATATCACACGAAAAACACATAGCAAACACATTTTACTTTACTTTTTGAAGATTCTTACGTATTTCTATTAGATTTTTATATGCAGAAATTAAATTTCCTAGAAAAATCCCAACAAATTAAATTACTTTAAATTTAATATATAATACAATTATATGCAATAATATTTGAAGTAGAAAGAGAAAGACATGGAGATATGCATTCACAATGTAGTAATGACGCCAAAATGATATATCTTTTCTACAGATTTCTGTCTTGATAATAAATTAATGATTAAAGAAAAATGAGGTTGCAAATAATTTTAAATAAGTTTCATTTTCATTGTTCCCCCCTTCTTCTTACTAATCCCTCTGATCTGAATTAGATCAGATAAGTTCATTAACCTTCATCACTTCCATTACGAATTTAGGTTTCTTCAGCACATCTTCACGCACCAAGTCAACACAACTGATGTTGCACAGTAGCTTCATGGTTTTTACATTTGGTGCAAGTGTAAAAGTTTCCAAGTTTAGTACCACTGGAATATCTGAGGGCCCTTAAATGTCCTGAAGTCAACCGAGCCAAAGCCGTTTGGTCCTTCTTGTCACCCTTGAAACCAACAGCAACACCAGGACCTGCATTACAATACCACGAGTGTGTCGGTAGCTGTCTCCAAGAATTGTTAATTTTAATTGTCTCCAAGAATTGTTAGCATTTATGTTTTATAATACATTTTTAAGAAATTACGTTACAAAAACATGCAGCTAACACAAAATTCACAATGATCAGCATTTTGTTAAATATATAAAGAACATAAAGATTAAATCAAGAAATTCAAGAGATGCCATCATTACTTACATTATACACATGAACATACACCTGGCTATTAGCAGCTGATTTACAATCAGATAAAAGATACAAATACAAAGCCAGAAGAAATGAGTCATGTAACAGTTATGAAAATTAAAGCCAAATGATAAGGATACAGCAATTAAAAGTGAGATATGAAAGTGGTTTAGTTGTCAAATTATTAGCTAAAAATTGGAGTAAAAATTCATAATATTAATAAAAATAAATAAACTAATTTAAACATGAAGGAAATTCCTTCTTAAAAATTTAAAGTCTCCAAAGCGTTCCTGAAAATATAGGGCAACTACAGACTTTAATGCATTTGTGATGGATTACTGATTATCACCAAATATGCATATCAAACATAAATACATTCTTATCCAATTGTATCTTATATCTTAACTCCCATTTCTTGGTGTTGTACCAGTATGATGATAAGTGCGATAAGATTCCACCAAGGGTTCCTCACAATGGCACTATACATATTTGACCAGCATGTTTATGCAGAAGCTTCATTCATTCGAGAAGACAATTCCATGCCATTCTAGCATCCATGTGCAGCATTTAATGCACCACTGCATTTGTAAACAACTCTGCTGTCCCATTAACCCATTAACCGCCAAAAATACAAGGAATGTTTCTTTTCTCATGAAAATAATAACAAATATTAAGTATTTATAACATAAATTTACATTGAAATAAAAAAAAAAAATGCTCTTACCTGTGTTATAAAAAGCGCTCTACGTCAGCGGAATAAGACTACGGATGTTTAGAGAGTAGGATTTTACTCGTGTGATGTTTCTTTCGAGTGGAGCGCAGGATTACTTTTTAGCTGTATAACATTTTATAAATCTACAAATCACTTTACTTGTAATTAATTTAATATTAAAATATACATTGTATTTCTTTTACAAATACAGATTATTTCAATAAGCTTGATTACAATCATGATGTAAAGCTACATTACATACTTTGCATCTATAAACAGTCTGGCTATGGTACTCTTTACAATAAATTCTTTTGTTATCAACGGACTTTACGATAAAATGTCTACCATCTCCATGCAATGGTTTTTTAATGCTGAATTTACTAGGTCTTCCTGTTGCTGATCTATTTCTGGCTAATTCTACACTCTCATAGGAGTTTGCAAAAGAATAATGCATTCTCGTGTCTGAAATCTAAAAGAGACTTTATATTTCCAGTAGTAAAAAAAGTGTGATTTTAGAAGTTTAGTACAGTCTCATATA